ATATATATATATATATATATAAAATGTATATGTGTGTGTGTGTGTTATCGGTTATCAGTTATCGGTATTGGCCTTTACAAACTGAAAGTTATCAGTTATCCGTATCGGTTTAAAAGAAAAGTTATCGTGCATCCCTAACAATTTTTCATCCCTTGCAACAAAATCCTTTTCCCTCATAGACGTAATTAGGTTCCCTGCTTGCATTAGGTTTAAATCTGAAATATTGCTAAATAGGCAATTTTGCTTTTCACTTTGACACCATATCCTCTGCCATCATCTTGTAGTCCAATCTCCTTACTGTGATCACCTGATATTTGAAATCTGACCCTGCTGCTGTATGAAGCACTTTCAGTTTAAAATTTCAGCATCCAATGTTCAACTAAGTAGTAGGCCTAATAAAAAAGAGAAATGACAGTGGGGGAGGTGGACATGTACTTTAATAGGTGTATGCCAAAACAACGACTACCGCAGCAGCCTACTATACAGCTCTACTGGGACAATCCTTCGGTTTCTAAACAACTGTGTAGCCTTAAATAACCCGCCACGGTTTAATCAAAGGTGACACCTCTCATTCAGCACAATGGGTGTCCCTTAAACCCTCTCTCTACATCCTAATGAAATCAAGGAGGCCCAGCGGGGATATCCTCACTCCGAGTGGCCCCACACCTGGTGCTTACCAGTAAATATACTGCTTCTTGATAGCCAGAGTGGGAATTAACACAGGCCAAATAATCATAAATCTTTGTCCCCGGCTGGCACAACCCAATTTTGATTGTCACTCTCTTTTTGTGAATCTCATTCTCTGTAAAAGTCTGTGACTAAGGCTTTTTTTCTTGTCCACAAAATCACAATACAGCATGTGAATCCATTTACAGAACAAATACATACATGCCATTGTTTCAATCAGTGTTTTGTGTAACGTGCTGCTGGCCTAATCCAATTGGTGATGGAAGTGCTCGGAGATTAGCCTCGTTAACATAACGAATGAGGGCTATTCAGAGCTTTCACCACAGCACGACCTACATGGACAGTAACAGTGTAAATCTACTTTCAGACAAAACTAGACTGTAAGATATCAGACAGGGGGAAGTTGATATATGAGGAAAGGATGAAGACTGACCAAAGGCTGCTGAAATGGATTCATTCACACAGTGGATACTGTTCTGCTGAGCTGGTTTCTGTTTTCAAAGGCAATTTAATCATTAAGGCGTAAAGGTGTGTGTAGGATTTAGGGGGATTTATTGGCAGATATGTCATATAATATAGTGAGTATGTTTTCTTCAGTGTATAATCACCTGAAAATGACATTACCTTAGAATGGGCCGTTAATATCTACATAGGCAGGGCTTGACGCTAACTTTTTTCCCAAGGAGCACATGTGCTCCTAAGTTGAAAAAGTAAGGAGCGAACAAAGAACTTTAGGGGCACAATGTAAATTGATCAAATAATGTGTTTTCCGTAATAAACGTGATGCCAATAGACATTTACAAGCAAAATTATTTAATGAATTTGTATACAAAATGTACAGAAAGGTAAAATCATCAAGTTTTGAAAAAGTATTGCAATTTAATTTTGTCTTTAATGTTATTATCTTATATATATTATCTTTGCAATATGATTATCTTATATGATGTTATTACTATCCTAAAACATTCTCCAGGTCCTCTGAAACTCTGCAGGACTGAAGCCTCTTTCACACAGAGCTTTCGCGGCGCCCTCCGCAGGGTAGGGCGCAGAGGACAGGATTTGGGGGAGTACAGGCTCCTTCAGGAGCTACAGCTCCATGGTGACCGCTTTCGGGTCTACTTCAGGCTCTTCTCTGCTATTGGATGCGTGGCGCCGAGGTGTCGTCACAGCGCGTTGCAGTGAAATTAAAAAAAATTCAATTCGAGCGCAGGCTGGCGGTGCGCGCCACTCAGCTCGGCAGCAGAGCAGTGCGCTCTTTCGCCGTGGTAGCACATACACAATGAATGGGTTCATCGGCGGAGGTCTGCGCTTTGCGCACTCTGTGTGAAAAGGGCTTTATTTCCACCCTGCCCAGCAGCGGTACCGTGGCGAACAGTCCCTAAAGGCCTCTACACATGATCAGCTGTAAAACCGCTTTGCGCTGGCTGTCCCATTGTTTGTCTATGGAGAGGGCAGCAACACCTGACAAAGCGGCACCGCTACCCTTGGCGTCTGTTTCTACAGCAGCCCAGAACAGACAAACCAAACACTGGCTTTGGATAGGGCAGTTCGCCTTTTCATATCAGCCACCATAGTTAGCAGCCCCTCTGCAACTAGAGCGTCGCATTAACACTCATTTTCTAACATGAAACTGCTTTATTTAGTGTTTTTACTGTTTAAAATCACTGGATCAGATTGTTTTGGAGAAGAAGAGATCTCTGCAGATTGGGTCCCAGTAAATATATCTTGAATGTCTGGATCAGAGAAAAGAGTTGAGTATCCTTTGGCAGGTGCTGGGGGAGCTGTCCATCTCTGACATGCCAAGCAGCATCTGAGAAACACTGATTTATAACTTGAAACTGCTTTATTTTGTGTTTTTACCGGTTAATCAACTGGTCAGTTTGTGTTTTGGGGGAGGGAATCCTTTGCAGGTAATTCGGCTCCCAGGAAAAAAACTTTCTGAAAAATAATCACTAAAGGAATTCTTATAGGGGGAAGTTTCAGATAGTTGCAATCTGCAAAGCTCACTGCTGGACGCCACTAAATCCCCCTAAATCTAAGGTAAATTCTTGTTCCTTTTCAACTGGCAAATCTCTGTTCACAACTTCAGTTGCTCTGCCATAATTCAAAGGATAATTCACTTTCAAAAAAACTCTGTTCTTACAATTAATTTAGCAGCTTACAAAATCCATCAACTGTCAGGCTTTTCACATGAAGGTGCGGAAAAAACACGGAAAATTCTCTGTTAAATGTGCAATTCAATATAAGGAGCAGAATTTTGATATAATGTATGTGCAACATGATAATGCAGAAATAGATAATGTGACTTAAAAAAAAGGAGCACTGCGTTTACCACCCAAGTGTCAAGAAAGTGCTCAATAAACAAACAAAAGGGCAAATATAACAGCATGATGTGCTGTTAAATCTTTTGTTCTCCTCCAACACTCACTCTGCCCTTCATCAGCGCAGCGTAGAGTCCCATGGAGAGGGCTGCTGTTGCCCTGAGCTGTCTGTGCATGTGACAGACAGCCCGCATGCATGTGCACAGACACACACTAAAACACACATACAAAGGTTTAAGTGGACTCGAGAGGATGGCTAGCTTCTCAAGGCCTTACAAGCCCCAGCTGTTGCCCCAACAAGAGCCAGACAAGGTGCAGAGGAACTCGCTGCAGGTGCAGAATCTGTTTCACTCACACTCACACACACACAAATGTACAAAAATGCGAGTTGCTATGGAAACGCCTGTCAAGTCAGCAAACTGGGAGGGGGGGGTTCCAACAGTCTATCAGAGATAAGCGGTGTCCTGCTCAGGATTTTCCATCCCCTCACCGGGCTTTGTGTCTGGCTGCTTACACACGAGCCTGCTTGGATTATTTTGTCAGGCCGCTAGCAGGAAAAGCAGACGCACATCCCTGACTGGCCACAGCCTGCAGAGAGGAGGCCCGCTCAACACCATTTCTGGTTTCCATGGCAACAAAAGGGTAGGAAGATGGCTGAGAGCAAGTGAGCATGTTGGCGTTCACTCTATCCTGTGTGAAGTGCTCACGGTGAAATTGTGAGACATGGGATCTCATTGCTACAGAAGAGGAAGGGGCGGGCTTCATTCACTACGTTGTGACGTGGTGCTGTTGACTCAGGTGATGGCCTACAGGATGTGGGTCACACAGAGGACATTTGACCTGTTTAAGAGCTGATCTGTGAAAATATTTTAAGCATTACATTCATATGATGACTAAAGAAAGGATCAGTAGCAAGGCTGGATGAAAGGGAATTTAAACTGGGCATTCAAGGACAAAAGGGAAAGATTTTCAAGAGACCGGCATTCAGGAAATGCTCTTAACAGATTGACGAAAATGTAGGCTAGGTGAGAAAAATATCACCAACAATGAAATCCATTCTAAGAAGTATTAGCGGAAGAGTAACCCTCTTAACACTGGTGATTAAACTGCCTGTTCTGAGAGAGAGCACAGGCCTCATTTGTTTGTTAGGATTTGTGCATTATTTGCTTCGTGAACTAGATAGAAAGTGATATCGTTGCTAAAGTAATATGTGGAAACTGCAGCAGAGAGGATGCATATGCTTAAGTTACAGCCATGTCCACATTTATTTGATGTTCTTTAGATTGTGAGATAATAAAAATAAGGTAGTTACCCTTATTTTGGGAGACTTAAGTGGCAGGCATGTCCACTGAACCATTACATTAGAAATTAATTCAAATTAAACTGTAGTTGAAACAACAAGTTGTCAGGTTTTTTTGTAGTTTAAAGCAACAATGCCAGAAACACTTTTGTTGCAGCTTCTCAGAAGTGAGCTGTTTTCTTGGACTTCAATCAAAAAGTATGGCAGATTAATCGATAACAAGAGTTAGCTGCAGTCCTAAATGAAATGCAATAATCAGTCATAATTTACTATGGTCAACCTCGACCTCCTGCTTGTGTTTGCTATGTAAAAGCACTGATGCATTGAGGCAATGAGGTGCTGCCTCTTTAATCTAGGTTAGATATTTTTACTACAACTGTTATCTATTAGAGATAAAATGGCAAAAATGCCAGTATTACTTTAAAATGTTCACATACAAAATGAGAAATGAGAAATGAGGACTAACAACAGGAGAAAGAACAGATGTGGATAACTATATTAAGTGTTTTTACGAGCGAACATAAGTCTGGCAACATTGCAACAACAACAACATTGCCATAGCAAAATAACAAAGACAACACAAACCCTCATCCCAGCCCTCTCTTGCATATCAGTGCTGCTCACACGACTCGCATGAGTAACAGTCAAATTCCACCTCCTTATTTGAATATAAAGTGATAGGAGTGCAGGAGACCGCTCCACCAAAACATCTCTTCAACTTATTTATATGCTGTATATGACATGAAACAATTGCGAATAATATAAATGCCTATTCACAAGGTTTTAAAGTTGCTCTTTACAGTAAACAGATGCTTTCCAGTGTCTCCGTCGCCTGTGGCTGAAAATGATTGCACTGCTGGATGAGGATAAAAGCAGTGGCCTCTTCCACCGATTTCACTGCAGTAAGATAATAAATCAGAAGCAGGAAGAGCTGCGGATGTTACAGGTAATGTGCAAAGTTGTTATAGCTCCTGGTCTGATTTCCTTCTTCTCTGACAGGCAATCTGTGCTACAAGTTACATTATGTAAAAGCTATGGCAACATCATGGCCTGCGTGGTGCTGAATGTGTCTGTAAACAATACGGTCACAAACATATCAGTAATATTGACTTTTAATTTCACCGGGAGCAGCTGCGCAAGTTATAAATGGTACATTAGTGTACACTGAGAATGGAAATCCCCACGTCTACCCCATCTTTGTGTCCATCCACTCACCATTTTGATGGGCACACAGGCCAGGTCCTCATCTGTGACGGGTGTATCGTCACTTTCCACGACATATATGCCCTTCCTGGACAAAGCCTGGATGACAGAGAGGTGCGACTGAAGAGACGCCGCCTGCTCCGTCTTGAGGATGAGGGCGCAGACACGGCAGTAGAGCTCGCAGGACAGCAGCAGGCGGATGACAGGCGGCTTGATGTGCTCCTGCTCGTACTGGTCTGTGTAAAACGGGTCCCTTAGGTCCTCTGGAATATGGTCTGCAACGGAGAGAGTGGTTAGGTGAACCATGTGGCATTGCCATGTGCAGTTTAGCTTTTAAATGGTGACATGGATCAAAGACAAACATATGGTATAGCTGATAACAGTGTAGTATGGTGACGCAGGAAAATGATGGTGCCTACAAGTATCTTTAACACCAACAAAACTGTCTGCTTCAGCCAACACTCATCCAACTTCTACAGTGTCAACAGGCTACAGGAATGCAACAACTCTCCATGTAGTATTTGTTCTATGCCGACCTCAGTTTACTTGGAGCAAACATAGCCATTTGTGATTGTAAGTCACAGCTTCTTGCCTCAGGAGTTCATTGGGAAACAGATCCTGGCTAAGCCAAGTCCTCAGTGAGAGCAGGCCTCTCAGGTGACATCGTGGGCTTTGCCAGCACTTACTTAACAACACTGGATCCACAAAAACGAAAAGAAAACAATGACCTGCACAAGAGATTCTGTTGCTTTGGATGTGAGGTCACTCTACAAAATGCAGAAATCACAGCCATATAAGGGCGTAGGATGAAGCTGTCGACTTCAGGCATGCACAAACCAAATTTTTACTGCGATGTAAACCATGCATTGAGGGTTACAATAGGTGTCCAAAATCCTGCACAACGAAAAATGGGGTGGTGATAGAAGAACCCTGTTGTGTTAAATCTGTTTTGAACTGCGCCTGAGCTCCAGTAACACAGCATAAGCCGTATGTGTGTATGCGATGTGTTCTTAGTGTCTGCTCTGACTGGCGGGATAAAGGGAGCCACTCGTCAGCAATCTCCTGCTCACAAAAACAGGAAAGCAGGCAGGCAGCTTCTTGCAGCTGGTTTTGTAGATGATAACGCACGAAGCACAAATGTTGAAATGCAGCTGGAGTGAGGAGGAAACAAACTAGATTTTGAGAGATATATTAAATATGTTGAGAAGAATAATAATGTATAAGACATGAGCTCGCAAAGACAGATTACACTGTCTGTTTAGGATGCCCACTGATTTCCAGTCACAGTCTTTGGGACTCTACAGTAGCTTTTTGAAGTAGGATGAGGGAGGTGTGATGGGATTAACCAGTTGTTTTTGTGGCCGTCATCATATAATATTTCGTGGTGATTTTTTGGTTAGTTGCAAATTTGTGGTTTAACCCTTCAGTGCTGCAACTGTCACTTGTAAAGATGGTGCTTTTATCATTTTTTAATCCAAAAATACTACAAAATGTGACCATTTATTGAGTAGAGGAAAATTTACTAAGAACTAGAGTTGGATAAGTACACATGCTCAACATCAACAGGTCAGTTTCCTTGTTTGTTACATATTTTGGATGCTTTCACATGCCATAGCATACTTCTTTTTGTAACAAATGAACCAAGAGGAGTAAACTTGAAGTGATTGTTGTCATTGTTTGGACAGTTTTGACAACTGTCTTCCTGTATCATCAGGGTCCACGTGGGGAAAACAAAATCTGGTGATGAACAGAAGATTATGTAGCACTTAAATACCTCTGATGTGTATACTTATGTCCTTTGGTGTCCCAAATAGCTCACGAAGAAATAACTGCTTATGAGCATTATGAGAACATTAGACAGCAAACCGACCAAATATAATTCAGGGCTTATTACTGTGGAATCGCTGACACACATTTCTTAATGGACTTAATGAACTGACAAAGTACACGGAGTCGAATACAACAACAGCAGCTTTAACAGCTTTTGCCCCATTTATCAGAGAAAATATCTGTGCAGACATGCACGTTTTACTATGGTTGCCACATGGATAAATAGGTCATACATACAGATAAATTATAGGATTGTGGACACATTTTAAGATCAGCAGCAGATGGATTTATTCGTCATTGAACTCTTTAAAATAAAGCTAAAATCACGTATCTGCTATCATAAAATTTTGTGGTTGGTTTGTTTGATTTCACACCACAAACAAACCGTACCAGTACCTGCTTGGAAGTGAGCCGAGACCCACTTTTTAAAATGGTTTCAGTTCAATTGTTCTGTCTGCACCAGGGTTTGATTGATAGCTTTCACACTAGCTCAGACTATCCGACGAAACGCTCCAGGATTTGATTAAAACGAACTGAACAGCACAGGTCTTACAGCCCCCTTAATTGTTGTTTTTGTGATTCCTCCTAAGCAGAGTGCTGCTGTCTCTCTTCAGATGTTAGATTTGTTTTTGTTTATGCCTGTACACAGTTCATCACGTGGTGTATCAAAGTCTTGTCATTTGCTGATGCAACGTAGGGATGCAAGCAGGGATGTCCCAAGCCGATTTCTATTAGGAGGTAATTAGGAGTCTTTGGTTTGATGCATCAAATCTCCTCGACAATGCAACTTTAACATTTGTTGTCATGTAAGAATGAGACCGACATGGTTATCTTGAAATGATTAACCATGAAGCCCTTTTGTGTCAGTGGCTGTTAATGATTAAATCACATCGATCCTGTATACTGTATTTCACATGCATAACAACAACACAAGCCTCACCGATGTGCTCACTGCCACCGTAGACGTGGTGCAAATAAGGATGTCATTGTACAACAGCATTAATCTATTATGCACAACACCCAGCAGTGTGGGTCATTCCGGGAGAGCTGCGTCCAAGTATATAAACCCATTAGAACAGTGGGAATGATTGTGAATGAAAACAAAGGGGTCTGGCTTGGGCGAGACTTCACGTTTGACTTCATTCCACAGACACTGATGTCGTGTGGCAGCTGCCCCCCCGCCCTTCTGCCACCAGGAGCCAGGCGGAAAGATTTACTAACTGGGATGGGGTGGAGCATGAGGAGAGGGTCTGGCAGCAAGACCCATGATGTGCTCCAGCAGAGTCAACCAACCATGATCAGCACCACAACATGATCAGCACAAGCAGGGGAGAGCAGGGTTAAGGACCGGCAATGTGCCTGTCACAATGACAGGTGCTCACTCTTGTTGTGTCTGGCTGTCTGTAGCTCGGGCTGGGAGCAGCTGTGGCACATGCAGAGGGCAGTGGGACGGGACAGCATGTACACAAACTCAGGCATGCATGATCAAAGACGTAACAGGGAAGCAATGCTGATGTATACACGCCAGATGCATATGAATCCCTGATGAGCCCCCAACATCACAAGATGGCTGCAGCTATTTAAAACAAAACTACATCACTTTTAACGTTTACACAGCATGATGTGTGTATGTATTTATATGAGCCACTAGGGCTGTACAGAAAGTATTTTTTTTTTTATACGCAGAGCTTCTACTGAGGTTCCTGAATAAAGCTTTAAACGTCCGTTGTCATATTTTCTCCATCACCTACCACCTAACAAATACTGCAAGTTGGAAGAGTCATGTCCAAACAAGACGTAGCATGGCTTACCCACGTCTTTATTTCCAGTATGTATAATACTAATGATAATAGTGAGGCCTCTCTGCAACTGTGCAGAAACACTGTGTTTAAACAGAAGGAATAAACATGGAAAGAAAGCATTCAAATGTTAATTCAGAATATGAATGTCAACGTTGTGAATGAAGTGTCAAAGCGTCTTAATATTCGGTACACCCCTGCCAGCCAGGCGAACAACTGTGCAGCATTAACAGTGAAGCAGATACCACATGAGCCATAGGGTGAAAATAAAATGAGCCTAGTATATTCAGTTCCCATGGGAGGAAGATAATTGCAGCAGCACCTGGGAGAGTTGCCTCCTGTGGGCTACCAAAGCTTTGGGGCAAATGTATGCTTTCTACTGTAGCTGAGCAGCAACTCCACCCAAGTCCATCCACAATGCTTCATTTCTGTTTATGTCGTTATGCTTCATCGTTAAAGCTGCATCGTTAGCTAGGGCCTCTGATGACTGATAGTGAACTGAACTAGCAAATGCCTAAGAGCCTTTGAATGAACTCTGAGAGAATATAAGTCTAATGACCCTTAGAGCAGAGGTTTACAGCACAACTCTGGGCTAAAAAACAAACAAAAGAGACAATAGGTTTCTACCCATAACCTGGATTACCAACTTTACTGTCATTTGTTTGACATGAATGCTACAGCTGCATTGGGAAATCTGTGTAATGACCACAGATATGTAAGAGACCGCAGCATACAAAGGAAAGCTTGTCTGAACGTCTGAAATGATGACGGATGATTCGACCAGAGACGACACTGATGCAACAGACATGCAAAGCAGTGACTGATGGGACTTGTGCATCAGATAGCTGAGGCTCATACTGACTAAGTTTAACTGCTTCGAAAATCGAAAGGTAAATAGCAGCCTGCAGGAAAATGATGGCGACACACTGTGATGTTAATCCTACAACAATGTCGGGCCCTGATGATAAAACACCTGCCAAACAGTCAGGATGTTATGCGTTGCCGTGTCTGAGTTCAGAGGTTAAATATTAATTAAGTGAGTGAAGGCTCTCAGAGAAAAATTAGGCCAACATTCACGCACATGACAGTTTTTTTTTCCTCATGGTTAATATATAGGTATGAACAAAGACACACTGGACTGCGCAGCCTATAGTAATTCACTGTGTATCTAAATCTGAAAACATGCCATCACTGCATTGGCTGGAGATATGAAGGGCGGGAATCTTGCCTAACTGGAACTTGTCATGATGGCTGATTACCTGCTAGTAGAACAAGGAAACCTGCATGCAGGCGGGAAAATAATAACCACAATCGACTGTTCGTTGCTGTTCACTTCCAACTACTGATAAAAGGTTTAAAGTATGCAGCACACTCACTCCATAGAGCAACAAAAGCCAATCACCACTACTTCCAACATCTATCTATGTTTTGTATCTTGGTCACAACCACTATGTGAGGTAGCTGCACTGGTTATGTTTGCAATAAATCTTATTTAAACACTCAATTGGCAGTATCAGACAACAAGGTCTTAACCTGGGGGTTGTAATTGTTCATCTCATTTATAGACTAAATATCAGTAATGCCACTCACAATATAATTCCCACAGCACCACAAACCACAGCCGCCAAAATGAATATAAAGCTGATCAAAATCCCTCTAAAGCATTTCAATAAATTCCGATATATTAACCTTCATGAAAGTAAGATTTATTGCAAGGGTGGTATATTAGTCTCAGAGCATAGGTGCACAATTTTCCATGTGAAGTTTATAATAAAAACACTTGATTTGAATAACCTCTTATTAGCGTAAGATACACCTCTGAATACATTTTTGCACAGAGCGAGGACTGTGGATGTTGTCCTCCATCAGTTACATTTAAAACACATTAGAAAGAAATCTTTAATGATCATTACAAACACGGGTAATGATTACAGCAAGCAAAACCTGTTTCAATATTCATTTGGGCACCTGACTACTGTTTTTAGACGGACTTGAAATTTTCTATTTGAACTGTTAGTAATATTTAAACTGTTAGTAATACTAGTAATTTTTTAATCAAATTAGTTTTAACTAAATGTACCTAATAAACTGGCAACTCCGTGAACATTCCTACAAGTATTCCCAAACTTTACATCTGCAGTAAACCTAGGCCTTTGCAATATATCGATATTAAATAGATAAAGTGATATGAGACTAGACATTAATTTTTTGGATATCTTAAGTGCTGTCTATTGCTGGTTTTCACGTCTGCGTTAGAGTAAAGTGATGTAATTTTCTGCTTACTAGACTGTTCTATTATTTGCCTTTACCCACTTGGTCATTATTTCCACCTAACTGATTCATCAAAAATCTCATTGTGCAAATATTTTGTGAAAGCACAAATAATCAACTCCACATCGTCGGAATATCAATATTGAGGTATTTAGTCAAAAGTATTGTGATATTTGATTTTCTTCATATCGCCTAGTCCTAAGTAATTTCATAGAAAACAAAAAAAAAATTTATAAAAATCTCTCCTCTTGATGTACATGACCTATCTGTGTCCAGTAAAAGAAATTAGACTTTGATATCAGCTACGCAACCGAAGATAAGCAGCGTTAGAACTAGGGTTTTTAAGGTTGCCGGTTCTACAGCCACAAGGAAATTGCTCCTTAAGAATTGTCCTGTAATCTATACAACTCATCTCAGCCCTAAAATATATTCAACTTACGACTACTGCAAGCAAGACAGGAAAATCTGGCCTAAAGGCTCAGTTACTAATGCTGATAACATCTTAGCAGGGAGTGTGAGTGACTGGCAGTGCAGATCAGTATTTTCCATGCTCTGAGTACAGTCTAACAAATATAGCCTAATCCTCAGTGCCTGTCACTCAGCCTGATTTGGGTTCAATCTACTGGCCAACCGACAAGAATGAAAGGATCTGGTGAGTCAGTGAGTGAGGCTTCAGTTGCCAAGTGTCATGGGGGAATTAGTGTTGGCCCGAGTGCACACATACATAAATATTTCTTTCTCCTTCTCTTTTCCTGTCAATGTTTCGCCACGGAAGCTCTACACAATCTGCAGATGGGGGGTATAAACAAATGGTTGCAACAAAAACATCTGAAATAACAATGAGAATATGAGGAAAATATGCAGCAGATAGCGCTATCTAAGGTTATAAAAACTCTGTGTGGTCATGAATGTGCTATCTGTCAAATCTTTAATGGTACTATAGATATACAGATAATTATTTAGTGAGTCAGTAATATAACCGCCTGTAAATCTCAACAAGGAAGCATACTTAGCATTTGTGTAACGTGAATGTAAATGTAATAACTTACCGATGCCATAGGCTTTGGCAAAGAGCCACCGCAGGTTGGCAGCTATCTTTGCTCTGGCCGAGTCGTACATCTCCAATGGTACGACTTCCATTGTGCCTTCTGCAGCCCCAGCCAAATCCACTTTTCTTCTGGTACTGTCCCCGCCAGCACACAAATCAACATCCATCCTTAAAAAAACAAAAAGCAATAATAACATGATGTTAGAGTTACAATTACACTGAACATACTGCTGAGTAACGATAGCTAAATAACAGGACATGAGCCATCCACAATATGCCAAGCTGCAAGTCACACTGGCATGACTTGTGTAAGTGGCTGGATGCCCTATCAGTGTGATTCCTCAATGAATAATTAAACAACATCCTCCTCTGGTGTTTGTTGATTATTAAGGAAAGTACTGTTTTGGGTGTCGCTGTTAATCTTCCCTTTGGAAGTCAATTAGGCTTAAATCTGGTGGTTGAGGGAGAAGTACCAAAGTAGCATCCTCGGAGGCGTGATCACAATCATTATGTCGAATGCTTGATGACAGAGAGGAGCCAGTGTCTTTGCAGTATCTGGTACTTAAATAAACCTACACTGAGTCCTACGGTGACTGGAAACAGTGCTAAACATAAGATTAAACTGTCTAGTCATGATGTATATTTAGGAAAGCACAAATGTACTGTACTAGTCCACAAGCGCAGAGCAAAAGTTATCTGATGGTGGTCAGTAACTTCTTTCCTACACCCAGTAAATGACCACATTAGTTGCTTGATTCAAACCAAAGTAGCATCCTTGCAGGCGTGATCACATTCATTATGTTGAATGCTTGATGACAGAGGGAGACAGTGTCTTTGCAGTATCTGGTGCTTATATGAACCTACAGTGAGTCCTACAGTTGCTGGAAACAGTGCTCAACATAAGACTGAAACTGTCTGGTTATTATGTGCAAAGCAAAAGGTATCTAATGTTGGTCAGTAATGTATTCCTACTCCCAGTAAATGATTACATTAGTTTCTTAAGTAAAAATGTATTGCAGAAAGCACATTGTGACCATTAAAAACTGAGAAATCTAACTGATTGTTGGTAAAGCTAACTTCTCACCTCAAGTCCTGCGACATGAAGACATCACAGCTAAAGATTGCTAGTTTTCTACCACACTGACTTCACTTAAATATTTCTGTGTCATGTCTATTCTAACCCTTGATTAACTTGGGTCATATTTTTGTTTTGATTCTTAGTCATCTCTCATTTGAAACATTCAGTAACTGTATTTCTAAAAGTGCTCTGCAATCAAAAGTGATTAATGCCTATAAAGAGCCATCTGCAGCAAGTCCTGCAGACTTATGTTTCTAATCAGTGCCTAAATGAAACTCAGAGCACTTTCACTTTCAATTACCCCTTCAGGCTGATGCCTTGCTTAGACATTTCCATTGCACTATTACAGTAGCCACTTTCTTAGGCGTGAACAGACAGACTTTGTTAATGAAAATTAATTAAATTAGGCCTAATGTCACGACAGCAGCATTGCTTCTTGCACTATAGGATGGCAGATTTGAGGAAAAACAAGTGCATATAGCTGCCTTCAAATACTTTCATGCGAAGGTAATTTCTTTCGCCAGAAAACTCAAGTTAACCTCAGTAAAGTTAATATGATTATATAAGCTGTAGTATTAACTCAACGTTACCTTACCAGCTCACCATTATGTTGCCATTAACGGCCCAATGCTGGCTTGATGAACAAGCTAGATAATTGCTAATTAATTAGATTAGCTATAATTATAGCGTTACTATGCTGATGCTATGATAACCAAATGAACGTGGGAACAACCGTTAGGTGACATGGCACAGATTTGCCTAACATTAGGTCAGCTAAGCGGCCATGCATGCAAATGTACAGCAGCTAACTGCCCCGCTAACCGTTAGCTTGCTAGCGTGTACTGTAACGTTAACAGCAGCAGCGCTGCATTCATCGGCCCCGTGAATGACGTTAGCTCACTGGCATGACATTACCTTGAAAGGTGTGGTGTGTCTCCAAGTCACCCTTCAGTTCCGTCGGGATAAACAATTATCCAAGGACCTGCCTCGCTTTACAGTGGCCTGCTGTGTGGAAAATACCCCAGCCGCAGCGGCGCATCGTAGCCAGCTAATAATGCTAGCAGGGGAGGCGAGTCTGGACGGTCTCCTCCCAGCAACAAGACCCGATTCGCGGCCTGTGTGACAACCGCTCCGCGGCAGGCTTTCAGCTCAAACAGACGCCAGGCAGAAAAGGGGGGCTGTCCGGTGAAGAAACACGACGTACGGACACGTTTCCGTTTAAAAGTCTATCTCTGTACCAGACGCCTCATGTTAGTTAACACGTAAACACATATCTAAGTGGCTCGCGCTGAGCAGCGAGAACCGGCGGTGTGTTCGCGCTCTGCCCATAGAAATGTAATTACCATCCCAGCCGTCGTAAAGGCAACGACTGCGCATGCGTGATTACCTTCCAGCCCGCTACTAGTAATACTGGTAATAACTGTCAATAATATATCATCCGTAACTGGCTGTCCTAGTTATGCTTCATTCATTCATTAAATCACTTGGCTCAGATTATAAATCTGCTGTGATTTATCCACACTTTTTGTAACCACAAATATTTGTGTAAAAAGTTAACTAATACATCTACCATACCCAGTTCTGCCTTCTTGAATTATATCTTTATTTCAGAATAAACACATCACAATATTTGTCCACATTTTTATTCATGTAGTTCTGTGTTGTCCCTGTGACACTGACAAATGTTGCTATCTAGTGGTGAAACATTTTATTACAACTTGAATGTTTCAGTGGTTTTCTTCGAAGTATGAGTACCAACATTAATTTATGTGCAGTCAAAATATAAATAAATAACTTGGTATTCTAATTACTATAGATTAAATTGTGACATTTAAACAAAATTACAAATATTGAGAATATAAATTAAAGTGTGCTCTAGTAATCTTTTTCAGAGGACTGCTGTATAATTAAGAAAATGAGGCCTCCAGTGTATTGCATTAACATCACAATTGAAATAGGCATTTTCAAGTTAAATTCATTTATAAATGACTTGTGAGCATTTTGTTTTTGTTACAGTTATCACTAGGCAAAGCAAAGCAGGTTTATATATATATATATAGCATATTTCAGCAGCAAGGCAATTCAACATGCTTTACATAAAACTTTTAAAGCATTTTGACAAAGTGCAAAATAAGCACATAATAAAAGAACATTTAAATGCAATTAAATATGACATTAAAGAGCTAGGGAATAGGAAAAAAAACAAAGTTACAGTGCAATGTAAGAAATAAATATTTGATTAAATGAACTCAGTTCAATAGAACTTTATTTATCCCGAAGGAAATTATTGTGCCAGAGAATGTTTCAAATTACAGTTACACTAAATATAGTAAACACAATTTTAACTATTCGCAACCAGTACCAACCAGACAACCAGTGGGTCCCCCGGGTCAGGGTCATTCACTGGACCCAGATTTAGAACACTAGAGTATTAAATATCTAAAAATATACAAATATACAAGATAGCAGCAAAGAGAAAAGTCTTTAGCCTTGATTTAAAAGAGCTGAGAGTTGCAGCAGACCTGCAGTTTTCTGGGAGTTTGTTCCAGTTGTATGGTGCATGAAAACTAAAGGCTGCTTCCCAATGTTTAGTCTTCACTCTGGGGACACAAAGCACACCTGTCCCAGATGTCCCAAATGATTAGAGGTCACTATTGTTCTGTAGCAGAAGATCCGGGCCTGTTGCACACAACACTGTAAGTAAATATTTTCTTAAAGTGCTAGTTAAGGTTTCCTCAAAATAAAACACCCTTAAGTCTTCTCCCTTAGGTTTTCTTTAAATACTCACTTAAGTATTTATGGTTTTCTCCTGGTCTTGGTCCTATACTTAAGGAATCCCTAGACATTTGCACAATAGACTTCAGCAACTGCAGTTACTGTCTTAACTGCAACATGACAGAGTTTATAGTGATACATTTAAAAACAACTAACACACCCTGAGAAGAGTGTTTTGCCACCAGGAGAACCCGATGGATACTCTTTTGATTTTACACTACAGATTTGACTGAATTAATTTTCATCGCTTTCTGTTTTCTGGTATTTGGGGATCAAATTTACTTGTGCTCTCTATGATTGTATTCCTCCAGAAGTATAATCTTTTCCTCCTCTGACCAATATGGTTTTCTCATCTTCTTTTCTTCTGCAGTTTTTTCACTATCTAACTATAACACAACTTTATGAAATGATAACAGGCATCACAAGTGTGAGTCCAAGCAAACAAACAATTTACAATGAAACTTTTACTACTGTAAAATCTCTTTCAATGCATTAAATGAGTTACTGTTTGAGAAAGTAATTTAATTTTGGTCAGATCCTAAAAGGAAACCAAGAGCACTGCAGAGGTAGAAATTATTTTAAAATTTATATAGACTGCACATGGTCACAAACTAATAATTGCTGTATGTTTCACAGACAGAGGAATCTGAGAGATTTGGAGAAATCAGCTGGTCTTCAGGAAGCCCCAGAGGAGGAGAAAAGAGCCACAGCTGCTCTTGAAGAGGCCTTGAAGAAGGAAAATACAGCCAGAGCTCAGCAGAAAAGAAACCCTCAAGAAAAACACACTCTTACAAAGGCTCTGAGGAAGGAGCAAGCTGAAAAAAACAGCCTCAGTATTGAGACAAAGCTCATGAAGGCACAAGTGGCTGATCTAATGAAGTCAAAGAGGGAGCAGCAGCAGAGCAAAGCAAAGCTCAAAAGAAACAATCAGCCAAATGGCCACTGAGCTTGAAGAGGACAAGAGGGAGATTGAGGAGCTCAGGAACGATCTGGAGGCATCCTCTTGTCAGCAGGAAAAAGAAAAAGTAGAGCTGGAAGTCAAGGCTCTAAGGGAAAGCTGGAAAAGGGCGATGAAATTCAAACCCTGCACTTCAATCTCCTGAATCTTCAAAACAACATTGACGTCAACAACAACATTGTTTCCTCCCTTCAAGAGGAAGTGAACCAGTGGGCCGAAGAACAGGACCGTCTGACTCGTGAGAACCAAGAACTTGCTTCTGAGAACAAAAGGCTGCAGGGTGAACTTAAGGCTGCTCTCTATGCTTGATCAAAAGCAGCTTCAGGAAGATCGAGAAGCTCACAGCAAACTCGAGGAGTGTATCGAAAGATCCAGATCCAAGAGGAAGAGCTCTCAGAGAAGACACTGGCTTTAGAGAGGAGCCAGATTGCTGAAAAGTTCTCAAGGTCGTCCCTCAAAAATGAGAGAGAGAGTGCTTTGAGCAGATGGTTTTAGAGAAGCAGTCTGCATTCTAAATTCACCGTCATGGAGAAAGAATATGACAGAGTGAAATCTAAACACCATTGTCTCTCTGAGCACTTTGACGTCAAAGAAAGACGATACCATCTCTGAGAATCAGTTCACTATCTCTAAGCTTCAGTGCATTGTGGACAGTTTCAAAGCACTGGAGTCAGAGAGCAAGACAAGACAGGCAGAATTTGAAGAGGCCTTATAACAGGACAAGACAAGAAACTCAGAGTTACAACAGAGAGTTGATCAAATCACCTTTGCTCTTGAAAAAGAAAAAACTAGATGTAAGAAGCACCGCGTCGAGTTCAAGGAAGCTTCAACCCAGCAAATTAAAACACTGAAGGAAAAGCAGACATTGGCCGTGGCTCTGCAGAAAGCTCAGGACGACTACTGCAGGCTTCGGGAACAACAGCTTGCAGAATCAAACTTCCAGCTCAGACACGTCTGGGACACCGAGCTCAGACTCAACCAGCAGGAAACTGCCCTGGATGAGAGCACAAAGGCATATTGAAATTAATTCTGATTATCTAGACCTGCTGAAAACTCACAGTGCCCTCCAAATCAAATATGAGAGACTCCGTTATGCACAAGGAAACCCACAACCAGACTTCAGCCCACCTCAGTTCACAGTTAAACTCTAATTTTTCTGCACATACGACATCTATACATGCTCGTCTGTCTGTCCGAGGAGAGGGATCCTTCTTCTGTTGCGCTTCCTAGGGGTTTCTTTTCACTTTTTTTTCCCCGTTAAAGGATCTTTTGGGGGGAGTTTTACCTCATCTGAGTCGAAGGCCTAAGGACAGAGGGTGTCATATGCCGTTCAGATTGTAAATTTGTGACTTGAGATACTGGGCTATATTAAAAATATGACTTAACTGTGAAGACTCTCAATCATACAGATGACAGGAAATCTAAAAGCTGTTTTCGGACAACACTCACTCAAGTGATTTAATCAGTTTTACAGACAGATCGTGGACTCCAGGAGTGTAAATATAGCCAATGCAGGCAGTGCGGTTTGCTTTAAGGGCCCGTGAGGTGGGGGGCCCATAGAGAGAGTGGGCCCTCAAACAATGTGTTCCATGGAGAATGGGCCCTTATGAGTGCTTGCGACCTTGTTAATATGCCTGTTTTCAAAGAAGAAAACAGACATCATAAAATAAAATAAAACAAAATAAAATAGAATAAAATAAATTAAATACGATAAAATTAAATTAAATGTAATTAAATTTTTATTATTTTTTTGTAAAATAGTCATTAGCAACTATAAAAAAAATTATACACTCATTCTATAAATCAACTATTAAAATTGTTAAATAACTTTTTTTTTCTTGGCTATTTTTTGTTATATACAGATATGCAGTGATGATTGCTGGATAATATCTATGCTGATGTTATCCAAAGTCAGGTCTCTGATCATGTGACTCCAAAACAATTTAACTTTACATCATCCTTTGAATGTAGTATTTTATTTATTATTGTGTGTCATACGTAAGCAATGTGTCAGTTAGTCAATCAAATGCTGAATATATACTGAAAAAAAGTCCTCTTATTTGAATCAGTCATTCCAAATCAAAGTGCAGCAAGATAACTATGAAAATGAGAAAGGTGTAACTGACACCATTAGGTCCTTTTAGTAGCTTTTCTGGAGCTTTTACTCATGTCACATGAGCTTTATTAGCAGGGGGAGGTTTTTGTTCACTTAAAGGATTTCTCATCAATGTTGGCTTTAAAGATTTCTCTATCAGAAACCTGCAACCTGTGGTCTAGTGGCAATTCTCACACACTTCACATTGTTTCTTCGCTGTATTTTTCTTACTGTGGCATATCAAAATGTTTTCTGTAAGCCTTCACAGGTTCCAAAATTGCATCCATGCTATTACTAAAATTTCCCATCAACCTGACACTCCAAGAGGGACAAATTAAATACTACATATGCATATAAAAAATACACTCATTCACTCACTTCTATACATGGAGCCTCCTGTTTCCTGACTGATTATTCACTCAAAGAAAAACACAGAGCCCAAAGCATACAGCCACAAAAAATAACTTTAATGCAATAGTGATTTAAATGCCAGTAGCCATGAGGCTGTCTGAATGAACAGACTGTGAGAGTATATTGCATAGGTTGTTAATCGGGGACAGTCCTGCATGGAAGCTGAGTGAAAACAAAAACCTGTGAGTCCAACACTCCTTCAGTGTCCCAAAGCAATAAAGTCCGTTTTGTTCATTTTCTGTTCCTGTTGACCATTTTTGAAAGACGTCTGCATGTCCTGCGGATCTTTAAACATACAATCTCCCAAAGTTTGTTTCATGATATTACAGGAGAGTTTCTGATGCAAACTAATGCAAAGCATGGAGGTGGTGAGAGAGCTGGTCACTGTGGCCGTGATGAAGGTCCACTACAGTGCGGAAAGTGTGCAGAGAGGCTTCCAGAGACGCGCGTAGAAATCCTTCTTCATCATTCAGACATGCTGCACTACTTTAACTCACACTGTGACCTGCCAGTCCGTAAGCACATTTTACAATGGTTTGTAAAAACAACATTTGAATCATTTAATTTTTTTTCACATTTGTAGATTAGCTTCGAGGTTTGCTAAAAATGTTATAAATAAGAACAAGTTCCTAGTTTGGCTTCGATATAAATAATGTAATAATACATAGTTCAAACAGACACTTCTCTCTAAAAACATTTAAATATTTTCAAATATTGCATTTACGAAACCATGTCCTGTAGTGCTCTTATTCATAAAGATCTAGACAGATTAGTTAAAGCCATTTTCAAATGCCAAACTAGACGGGGGTGAGCAGAGGTTTGCCGTAACGACAAGTTTAGAAAAACAATCTCAGCCTCCCTGAGCAGAAAGTCACATCAATACCACATTTTTTTTTAAATATTGAATAAAAACACTCAAAAGCTTGGCAAAACACACCACCCTCCATTTTGTGTTTTAGCTCTCGGTACAACCAGGAGAGGCTACGCTCGCCTTCTTGTAGCTGGAGATTTTAAGTACTCAATGCAAAGGCTAATATCGTAGAACACACTACCCATTGCAGTTCACACATCTCTAACACTCAAATCAAATATATTTCTTTACAGGTCAACAGAAGTCCTTGCTATTGCACAGAAATACAGGATTTTTTTTTTTTTAAATGGGTACAACTAATGACAAGGCAGGTTATACAGTGACATTTTGGTTTGGTTTGACAGCATAAATGTTCACTGCTCTCAAAAGAAAAAAAAAGTAAACCAAAAGACCAACACTGGTTGCGCCTCAAATTCTATTATTTCTTTGTGAAGATGCTCGCACCTCCGCAGCATGAAGTGAGCAACTTTATCATTCAAAAATTAAAGGTTAAAAAAAGGCAAACCCCTTTTGATTAGGCTCAGCTTCGTTTAACATCCCACTACAGCCTTTTTGAGACATAACCCTTCTTTAAACTCCCTCAGTGCTGCAGTGAGTGATATCCATAGAGGTGAACAAGTGCTAAATGAGCGCAACATGATAATATGACATTCAAGAGCACATCGACAATAAACACACAGGCCTAATATATAAGTTTCTTGTAAAAACATGACTAAGACACAAACAGTTTAGTGTACAGCTTTTGTCTAAAAGGCAAGAAAGTCAAATAAATATCCTCGAAGAAGCTTTTCTGCTTTGAACTGAGAGGCGCTCGGGTGACTTACAGTGACCTCGCAGGCGTGAACGGAGAGAGAGGTAACGTGTCCGTGAGGCCGTTTTCAACAAGCCAAACGAACACTCGACTTTGACCACCGGCCTCTCAATTAAAAGCGGTCACTCTGATAAAAACAAGACCAAGGGGGAAGAGAAACAGAACGTGATACCGACAGAAATCATCCACACATTCACCACAGATGAAACGTAACAATTTAAAGAGACAGACAAAACTGTAATTGATATTTAAATATTGCAAAACATACAAAAACAGTTTTCTTTGAAGTGTAAACATTAAATCGATGTCTGATGTCATTTCTGCACATGGAGAAATTATATAAAATAAATCATGTCTGTCATGACTATAAATTGTTCTTGTTAAAATGTAAAAACAACATACTAAATCTCATTTTTATTATTATTACTGTAATAATGTTTATGTTAACATTTGTTTTCGTATAAGTGTTTTTACTGTACTGTTATAAATAGTTATATGTGTAACATCTTAATTCATACTCTGACTCCTCCAGCTTTGTCTTTACAAGGCAAAAACAATACTTGTGTCTCTGCCACACTCAGATACACACACACACACCCATACACACACACACACACACACACACACACCCACACACACCCCAATATGGTCGCACACACACACACAGGCTGCCACAGTCACACAGGGATCACCAGGAGGCTCTATGTGCGATTGAGGGTCTGGAAGATTCTGGATATTTGGAGCATGACTGGGCCGGTCTCGGGGTCGTTCATCCACTGGGTGCTGTTCAGAGGATTCTCAAGCATGTCTTCAAACGCTGCGTACACACACAAAGCACACTGGTAAGAAATATATTCAACAAAATCCAGCTGTCTTTAAAAATTCTTTATAATAAAATGTAAAAACAGTCTCTTCTCCTAGATCCCTTGTGAAGGGCGTCTAAGTGGTATGAAGGTAATGATTTTGTGATGGTGAACTGATACTAGCATGAACTCAAACTATTAAATCCATCTGTTGATTACAAACTCTTAAAGGCTATCTCTGGTATTTTTCAACCTGGACCCTTATTTCCATGTTGTTATGTCTAAGGGTGCTTTCAGACCTAGAGCTGTCTCACTTTGGTCTGAATCAGGGACTAATTTATCACAAAGTTGTATAATAGCCTAGAGTTGGTTCATGTTCTCACGGCAGCATTTACAAGCAGACCAGATCAAATGCCTTGCACAAGAAAGCTGCTCTTGATTGGTCAGAATTTCCATGTGGGAAAAATCCAGGAAGTAAACAAACATTGACGAGCTACGGACAAGCAGTATGGAGATATTTTGTGGTGTCAATTATGTGGTCTTGGACGTTTTAATCTAGGGTGCCGTCAGCCATTAGGTGTGCAGTTGTGCTGCTACCCACTCCCCCCTCAGATCTCCGCAAGTGTTGTGAGGACTCTAAAACTTCACCAGTGCCTCCCTCGGCATGAGGGCGAGTAGATAATGGCTGAATTTTCATTTTTGGGTGCACTATCCCTTTAATTCTTTGTGGCATCAATTCATAGAAGAATGGAAACATTCATCAGAGATTTTGGGCCATATTGACATGAAAGCATCACATATTTGCTGCTTATTTGCCTAAATGCACTGAGTTGCTGCCACATGATTTGTAATAACAAGCAGTTGAACAGGTATACCAAATAAAGTGGCTGTTGAGTGTATATTTAGAGTTAAAAACAGATGTTTGTTAAGATTGTGTCCTACTCTGTCTGTTTAGATATAAAGAGATTATATCCCCAATAAAAAGTGAGTGAAAAGAGTAAAACACAGCGGCCGCACAGGATCTATGTTAAAGAGATAGAGCACCCAAAAATGAAAATTCAGCCATTATCTACTCACCCATATGCCGAGGGAGGCTCAGGTGAAGTTTCAGAGTCCTCAAAACACTTGCCGAGATCCAAGGGGCAAGGGGGTAGCAACCTAATGGAGGCTTACGGTGCCCCAGATTCAAACATCCAAAAACACATAATTGAAACCACAAAATATCTCCATACTGCTCGTCCGTAGTGATCCAAGTGTGCTGAAGCCCCAACATAAAAAGTTGTTTGGAAAAACGTCATATGAACTCTGTTTTTAGCCTCAATGTAGCCTGTAGCTCTAACTGCCTCTCTGTGCACTGCACTCACATGTGCACGCTTGCACGAGACCGTGAGAAATGGGCACTGCGTTCATGTGTTTTGTTTTGGTTTTTTTTAAAGATTATTTTTGTGGGCTTTTTGCCTTTAATGACAGGACAGAGTGAAATGGGGAGACAGAGAGAGAGAGTGGGGACTGACATGCAGCAAAGGGCCGCGAGCCGGACCCGAACCCGCAGCCACCGCAGCGAGGCAATGCCTCTGTACATGGGGCGCCAGCACCATCCACCACGCCACCGACACCTCCACTGCGTTCATGTGTTGAGCGCAGTGCACAGAGAGGCAGTTAGAGCTACAGGCTACAATGAGGCTAAAAACAGAGTTCAAATGACGTTTTTCCAAACAACTTTTTATGTTGGGGCTTCAGGACGCTTGGATCACTACGGACGAGCAGTATGGAAATATTTTGTGGTTTCAATTATGTGTTTTTGGACGTTTGAATCTGGGGCACCGTAAGCCTCCATTAGGTGGAGTTGTGTTGCTACCCCCTCTCCCCTTGGATCTCTGCAAGTGAGGTGAGGACTCTAAAACTTCACCTGAGCCTCCCTCGGCATATGGGTGAATAGATAATGGCTGAATTTTCATTTGTGGGTGCAGTATCTCTTTAAGTGAGTGTGACAACAAACCAAACTAGAGCTAAAATGCAACCGTGCATCTTTTTAAACATTGGTCAGAACCAAATGAACTGCACTGCACATGTGAAAGCGCCATCAGATGTCACACTGTTAAACATCCTCATTCTGTAAAGCTTGTTGCATTTACTGAAAAAGCACTACCACACAACAGAGTGAAAGTTTTTGACATTATTTAGATCAGAATTATCCTCTGAAGTGTGATTCACTTGATTTTTTGTTTGTTATCAAAGTCACCAACTATCCTGTCATGTCCACTAAATTTGATCAGACTGTACCTAGCAGGGTCTTGGGATTAGTTAGACCCAACTGGACCACTGGATTTTCCAGAATGGCTTGAAACAACGGGCTGTTGGTGTCGATGCCTTTGTCTAGATCCTCTGGAGAAGGTTTCCTATCACCCAGCAGCCACTCACACTGCAGGACAGAAACACACAGTGAGAAACAAAAATAAAGAGCTATTTTTCAAATCTGGTACTGCTGTATTTTTTCAGCACTAGCTCTGCATGTAAACACCACGGACATGGATGTGTGAACCCACCGCAGCATCCTGTTGGTTATTATTCACCCTCAGAGCATCAACCACCTCCTTTTCATCAAACCCCATCTCCATCAATGCAATGACAGCCTGCAGAGACAAAGACAGCGAATAATGACGTGTTCAGTTTAATATCTCTCGGTCTAATAAATACAGCATATACAGTCACACTTCTGAGGAGCTCAGCAGGTGTCTTTGGGGAAAAAACATTTCAGCACAGTGGAAGAAGTGACTGAGTGTTCCAACCATCAAAATGGGAGTAGGAGGAAGAGTTTTGTTGGGTGATGGCGTTTTAATAACTTTTCTATTTTTGGAGATAGTAATAATTTTGCCTTGGATAACAGAGGTACATTAAGCTCTGCAGTTAGGGAAATGAGAAGACTCTGAATGCAATCAAAGTGATATAAAAACACCTAAAACAACTAACACTGTATATCCATGAGTGCAGATTTCATTATTCTCTGTTCACAGAGCTAACAGGCTGCCTCCGTTCATCAATTCCAGTCCTATATACTGTATGTTTTATGATGCCATTATAGACTGAGCAGTCTGACGGTTATTACAGCTGTGTTTGGCATCTGGCAAAATAAATTTATGATCCTGGAGCAGAAGTGAGGCTGTCTTGCATCTTCCATCTTTCTACAAAATACAGAGTAATGGAAATCTCTGAAATGAGTTGTATAACAGTAATATTCATAAAGCCACCCACTCTTGAGTCCGGTCTGAACTCCCGTTTCCTGCGGATCCTCTTGAAGATCTCTGTGAGCTCGTCCTGCCTGCTGCTCTCTTCTGTGCTCGATTGGCTAGAGAGGCTGCGGAGGAGGTTAGGACCGGAGGCTGAGGTTGAGGCAGAGGCAGAGGCAGAGGCAGAGGCAGAGGCTGAGGCAGAAGCTGAGGCAGAGGCTGAGGCTGAGGGGCCCGGTGTGGCAGCAGCTGTGGCTCCTGCTGCCCCAGAGGAGTCCTGGCCAGGTATGGGTGCGTCTACAGAGGGGTCATCTACATGCTCGATAAGCCACTCCATTGCCTGGGTCACCGACATGCTGCAGAAAGAAAGAATGAGATGAGAAAGGTTTGTTTTCTAAATCACTTTTACTCATTTTCAATTGTGAGTGAGTTGTAATTTAAGCGACTCAGACTTACTGGTTCAATCTAAGAGCTTTGATGGCTCTGCTCTCGGGGAAACCCATCTCAGTGAGCTGCTGAAGGGCCGTTTCATCTACCCGGTCCTCTTCATCTTCATCCAACATCGCTATGAAAAGCAGAAACACAAAGAGATCAGAGAATTGAAACTGGGGAGTTGGGGAATATGTGTGAAATGTCTACAACAATAAACATCAGGATCTATTCTTCCAGCAACAATACATACTGAAATATGTACTCTAACGAGGTTCAATGCGTTTAGCTTGACGGCAAATATCTTATACCTCACCTGTCAGAGCTTTAAATTAAAATACACTTAATCAGTTTACACAAGAAGCTCAGTGGTTTGCACTGTTGCTTCAGAGCCGCTAGCTGTAACCTTTCTGTGTGGAGTTTGCATGTTATCCCCCACCTCTGTGTTGGTAAACTCTGGGTGCTCAGGTTTCTGCCCATATGTCAACTTAAAACCCTGTGCTGCCCTCAGAGGTCAATGTGTTCATGTTGTAACACACTGCAAACTTGTCCAGGGTGAGCTGAGGTTGGTTACAGCCCCTCACGATCCATCATAGCATGAAATGTCTAGAGCATTACTGAATTTTTGTCATATTTTTAGCAGAAAAAAAAGCTTGCTTCCCTGGCTTGTAAAGTGTTGAAAGGTATGTTTAGCTTTACCATTGGCCTTTTTGAAAAGTTCAACAGCATCAGGGTTCAAGGCGAGAAGCTTCTGGGCGACTTCAATGAGAGAAACCAGGATTTTTCTTAGCTCCGTCTGAAACTGGAACAACACAAAAACACACACACACACACACACAAACTTAAACTGTGAGTCTTATTCATAGAATCTGCATGTTAGGTTTCTTTAATCTAAATCCATTCCACCAAGAGCCTTACATCTCTGATGTTATGCTGGGTAACAGTGCGGTCAGTGTGGCGTGTGGACAGGTTGGCGGTGGCTTTCAGAATTGCGTCTTTGTCTGGAGCCTTGTTGTCTTGTTTCTTCTGTGACAACCACGATGAACGACAAAAGGACATAATTAAAAGCAGGCAAAATAAAGACGCCACATTTCTCATGCTGTCTGGCTGCAAGCTTACCTTTTCCTCTGAACTAACGTCTAGCATCTTTGGAGGGGTCGGTGGCGGCCTTTTCTTTATGAGCAGCAAAACCTCTACAACGTATATGAAACATGGTCAGCTCAAGGAATACAGTGTAGGTCGATCATAATCCCGGAACTTTAAATAGAGTGTTACATACCTTTATCTTTCAGATTTTCATCAGCGACTGTTTTAGTGTCGGTGAGGACTCTCTCTGTAGCAGCATGTATGAGTTTATGGTGGGTGAGTGTTTTGGGGTCTTCTAGACTTCCGTGCACATACTGTAAAGCAAGCAAATTATGAAGCATCTCAGAAATAAACAGCAAACAGGAGGGGCTCTTGTTATTGTCAAGTAATCTGTCATTTTTTTTCCTATTTACTTAAGTCATATTTTTGTCATATTTGCCAGAACTGTCACAATCCACACAACCCGTGAAAAAAAAATTGCATTCTTCCGTCTCCTCTTAACGGCATTTGCAAAAATCCACTGTAATTGAACGAAAACAACCAATCAGAGCCGAGGAGTCTGTAACACAACTGTCAGTCATGTCAATCACTGCTCTTGAACTGCAGCCAAACTGTCAAACTAGGCAGTGCTGATCAAACATGAATCAAGATTCTGTAACTGTATTGCCTATTTCTCGTCCCAAGTGTTTTCAAAAACATATTTTAGTGTACTGTTTAGCTGTAAAATGAGAAAGATTGTGACCCACCAACCAATTACAGCTAAACAGTACACTAAAATATGTTTCTGAAAACATCTGAGGGGATATGTAGGCGATGCAATGATGCACTAATTTGACAGTTTGACCACAGTACACGAGCAGTGATTGACATGATTGACAGCTGCATTAGAGACTCCTTGGCGCTGACTGGTTGTTTTCCTTCAGCCGTGGTAGATTCTAGCAAATGCCATCAGTATCACTATGATGAGGCAGAGGAGCATCACTGTCTGTCTCATGCACTACTGTGTGGATGTAGTGACAGTTTCAGCAAATAGAAAATGTTAGAAAAAAGTGACAACTATGAATTGTGTTTTTTGTTTCATCAACAGTGCAAAAGCTGAAAAGACTCAATTCACAATTAGCCTATTTAAACGAAAAGTATGTCTGGCAGTTTTACTTAGTATTTTTCAGTATTTTCTCTTTATCATATGATTGTAAAGTAAGTATCTTTTGGTCAGACTGAACAAAACATTTGAAAACCTAACCTGGGACTGCAAGGAATTATTTTTAAGGTACTTAAAATAGCATAAGTGTGTATTTATGTCTAAATTTAGTACTTTATTTTTTATATTTTTAAAATTCTGATATATATATCATTTTGTATTTTATCTGTATTCTATAAGTATTATATTGCCATTCAACTTGCTTTTCTATCTCTGCTATTTGAGCTGCTGTAACATGTGAATTTCCCAGGTGTGTGGGATCAATAGTTTTATCTTATCTCATCTCTTATTTGTGACAAGATGTTTTCATTATTTTCTGATAGGCTATACTATGATTTAATCCACTGGCTGTTTCAACACTGAACCTATAAAGGTAGATAAAATAAAAGTATTACTAAAAGCCTGATGTCTGAACATAAATATCAGCCCTTATCATGATGACCTGGCCAATATGATGCTGCAACATTTAATATGTCACTGAATCTGCACCTTCCCCAAGTCAACATGAGACGTTAGCAGAGACCACCACTTGAGGTTATGCTATAGAGGCCATAGAAGGAGAAGTGAGATGAGATGTGTAATAATAGACAAGCAGTAAAGCAACATGCCTGTCAGACTAGCCACTGGGAGCTGAGAAAGGGGCAGAGTCGGACAGTTAGCTAGCTAGCTTGAGAGGGGCAGCCAACCTGCTAAATTATAAATAGCAAGATCTACCCAGTTACTATAAATACAAAGCCAGTGACACTGACTCTGGCAGTTTACACAGAGGGCATGTTAGGCTGCAAGCACCCCAGGCAAAGGAGTGACAGGACAAAAAATGCAACAAGGGAAAGTCAAACAAGCCAAAAACCTACATGTTTCAAGCACTTCTCCTTCAGTTTCTCAACAGTGGTGTCTTCCGTGACCTCCTCCAACCACTCCGTGCCGTCCATGGTGCAGATGTGTATTTTCAACACTTTCCCTGCGAATATTTTCTCCTCCTGGACGAACATAGCTGCAGCCTTGAGAGTAAAGAGTACCAGTCCAGTGACGTTAGCTAGCAGCAGTTGCTATGTGCTCCTGGCAAGCTAGCGTGCTAACGTTAGCACCCAGCTAGCCGTCGTTCTGTAAATCCGCCGACAACAGAGCGAGAGAAAGCGCCGATTAGCTGAGGGCCATCTTCGGTTTCCTCTGCCGGTTTTCGGTGCGGTGGCAACCGATTAGGGTGCTCCGTGACCACCAAGTTGTTTATATTCCCAGCGAACACACAAGCAGCCAGCCAGCAAGTACCCTATTTTTACTGTAATGTTTGAACTTTGAACTTCAACGGTGCTACTACCGGTGCATCATGGGAGCAGTAGTTCTCTTGAGTCACAAGATGCCCCATGGATACAATCAGCTTGGTTCAGAAATCTCAGCACATGAGAAAGGTTTGCCTTCAGGGTTTTCTGGCAGAAAGTCTTTTCTGGATAAAATAATCTATTCATTTTAATCCAAACATTTATTTTTCACCAGATCTATGCACAAAAAATACTTTCTGTCAGAAAGCAATGAAGGCATACTTCTCTAACCAGCGAAAACTCACTCCAACTTTTACACACACAGTCAGCATCTAAAATATTCCCTTAACCTGCAATAAACAAGGATGGATTACCATGTAGGAAAAAGCTGCAAGTACTTGGGGCCCCAGACCTCCAGGGGCCCCACACACTCCAGGCTTACTGTGTGTCAACTTGTTTGTGCTAATTCAATTGGTACTTTTATTTGGGAATATGCACGATTAAAGCACAATATCAGCTGTCACGACAAGGACCCTTATCAAATAATCTGACAAGGTTTTTTTTTTTTTTTTTTTTTTTTTTTCCAAATACTGGATTAATAATTTGATCTAAAATTTTCAGAAAACAGTGAAAAATGCCCATCTCCTTAAGTCTAATATGTCATCTTTAAATGCCTTGTTTGGTCTGAGCAGCCGTCCAAAACCCAGAGATATTCAGTTTACAGTAATATGAAAGAGAAATAAACAGAAAATCCTCAAAACTGAGACACTATACAAAAGATTTTTGACACACTTAATTAAGTCCTGCTTTTATTTATCTATTTATTTTTTGAGGTGATATGTTAGGAGAGTCTCTGTGTCAAAATAAAATTATACACTGTTATTATCTAAATTTTGTGCTTACATTTAGTTAAGGTTTTGTGTTTAATCAAATGACCACACAGCAAACATGGGACAGGGTAGTATTCTATCCACATTGAATCAGGTATTACTTTGTTTTACACTGCACTGTAACTATTATCCTTGTATTTTGCGCTCTGTTTCGGTACTTTAGATTTTTCATTTAAAGTATCTTGAAATGTCTTGTTGCTAAAATTTGCTACAAACTTGCCTTATCTTAGAAAAACTGTACACAATGCACAAAAACAGTCAGGAACTGGGCAGCGGGGTAAGGTAGTTACAATGGACCCCAGTGTACGCTACTATGATGGGCCCTAAGGGACATTAGTGACTTGTTATGTGCCTTAACTAGCTACTGTGTAATGTTATCATCACATGATCAAATAGAGACTTGACACTGGATAACACCCAACATATATATCTACCAGAAATCATCATCGCTTATATGTATAGGACAAAAACACCATAGATAGTAGGGGATTACTCTTTTAACTACATATTTTTATACCTTATCTATAGTTGATGTAGACTAAGTATATATTTTATTTTTTGCTACTGGCTATTTTACAAAAAAACCAAGATGGAGATGGATTTGCTTTTTCAATTGCATATAAAGCATATGGCACCATTTTAATTAAATGAGTATTTCTTAACACAGGCATATTTCTAAGGTGGTAAGGGCCCGTTTTGTGCCTAACATATTGTCTGAGGATCCGCTCTCTATGGGCCCTCTCACCCCATCATGATCCCCAGTGCAACTGCCCTGACTGCACTGTCTATATTTAGAGCCCTGGAGCTGAGGATGGGCATTACTTGGGACCCAGTCAATCATTTTTTGCTCTTAGCTCTGCAAGAGGGTTAATTTGGCAGTGGCAATTAGTCATGCAAATATTTCTTTATTAAGTTGTGGCTTTAGGTGTTTCGATAATATACTCAAAGTACAAAAACAGGACAGCTGGACCTTCAATTTAGTGTGAAATTTAAAGCTAAAAATTGCCACCACTAGAGGGAGACACACTCAGTCAAATATGTGTACTTGCCCCCTTCATGCAAAAATGTTAAATGATGTGCTGCAGTGTGAAGAGAGAGGTCTCTTTTATTTTAAATGTAAAAAAAATCTAATGACATATAAATTAATTGCTGCCCAGCACTACACTGTGGTTAATGTGCTATGGTTACTTATATAACCTCTCGTTTCGCAGAGCTTTTATTGAAGATATTGAGCTTTAGAGATCTTGTAAAGTAATTCAACCCAAAAAAGACAGTTCTCATAAGTTCAAGACACACAAGTGCCCTTTATTATAACAAGAAACATTTTTACAGATTGAAAAAGAAAAGGGGAAATACATTTCTTGCAAATTATAACTTTATAAGAGGAAGGAAACATATTGCAGATATTACAATTTCACTACAACCTAATGTTTTTTGTTTTAAATTATAACATTTTGCAACCAGGGAGTGTCTCACAAAATATTGAAGCAGAGACATCTGAGAATGTAGCCAACAGTTCTAACAAAAACATTTCATAATATGCACAAATGGTTGCCTCGGTGGATGTTTATGTGTTACAGAACAGTAAATAAATATGAATTTATAAACCCTCAATATTTATGTATTTTAAATTTTTATGAGAAAAATGTCTCCTAGCAATATATCATATCTATTTGTATATAGTTCAAATTTATTTATGCATAAGGGACAGTAAAATACAAAATATATATTCTGTTCTGTTTGACATTTTAGAGGCCATTGACTGGTGCGAGATCTATCAAAAATTGCATGCTTAAGACATCAGATTTCTTAAACAAAATCTTGCTTACAAGGGAAAAGCGTAATGTATTTACAAAAGGAAGAACACAGCCATAGGCTTAAACTAATAGGAGGGAGAGGGGAAACTGAACTTTCCTTTTCCCTCTGGACAACAACATACACTGTGGCCGACGGGCCAGTTCTCAAACACCAACAGATACTCAAGCCTGTCTTAACCGCCAATCTCCAAGATGGCTGCATACTGTACAACATATCACATCTCCACCACATCTCTACGTATGAATGCGATCAAATCGAGAAGCACAACATCGTGTTGTTCCGTTGATTCAAGAAATGTACACAACTGTAGAGAGTGTAACTAAGAATCACATGATATTTAAAAAAAGGGGAAATTGTGAAAACATACAGGACACATGTTCTGTAACGTCCACAATTTATCATCGACTGACTAGAATATTTCCCACACTTAGAACAAACTGAAATAACACTGAAACTTAAAGTGTGCTATATAAAATGCCCCATAATCACAAGTTTATTTATAAACAAGATTATACAAAAACAAAAATATAAACAAAGATTGAGAAATCATATGAAAAAAAGGCAAAGACTAAAAGTCCTTAAGGAAATAAATACCCAGTGTGTATGCTGCGGCTTCACTGCAGAGAGGAAATGCTAAAAGAAAAGAGTCTCTCTAAAGGACTGTCTCTGTCCTGCGTACGACCCAGCACCTTGGATCTGGAATTTCTGTAAGCAGGCAATGCGTATAAATAAGGCATTAATAAATAAAAAGAAATGAATGAAACACAGGTGTTGCTGTTAGTATAAAAGCATATAAAAAACGTCCTATTAAATCGTGTTTACAGCTTTGCCCTTTTTCTTTTTTTTCCACAAAGAGTGCCCTTTTTTTTTATAAAAAAATATACAGCAGCTCATCTGGGTGTAAAGATACAAGCTTTTTATTTGAACTGTTCGGGTATATGTCCAATTTGAGACTGCATGCTTGTCGGTGGACTTGAAATGCCCTCGGACCAGTCGGACATGTTGGAATGAGGAGATGAACTTGACCACTGATCAGGGGAGCCGGGGGAGGGGGTCAGAAAGGGGTGGTCAGGGACCTGGACCTGATGGTTTGGGGTGTTGTCCATGGGGCCTGAATAGCTGTGCTGGGAGGGTGGGGTGAGAAACTGGGTGCTGGGCATTGACTGGCTGATGGAGGAGGGCATGATCTGGGTCTCCTGCGGCAGGATGGTATGGATGGGCATGCTGGAGTTGCCTGTGCCCTGCTGGAGCTCCGGGGAACTGAGCTCCCCGCTGATGAAGTTCTGGCTGTTGGTTGAATTTGAGTTCTGGTGCTGCAGCTGGATGCTCTGTTGTTGCTGCTGCTGCTGCTGTTGGAGCTGCTGTAGATTCTGCATCTGCTGCATCTGCTGAGCCTGCTGCTGCATGATGTGAGGCTGTGGACCCAGCCTGGTGCTCTGGATCCCCTGGTAGGTTATCATCTGAGACAGGCTGGTGGTGGGGTGGCCATTGTGGAGGGAGGTCATCAACCCGTGCTGCCCTCCCGGGTGCAGGCCTCCCTGACCACCAGCAGCTCCTCTCATGGGGTTGAACTGACCTGGCTGGCTCAGGTTGCCGTGCATCCTGGACAGCCAATCACACTGGCCGTTTATGGCGCCCTGGCCACCTGAGCCAGACACGGGCAGATGAGTGAGACGGGGAGGCAGCGGGTCAAACTGCATCCGAGCCAGCTCCTGCTTGTTTGGCATCACCATGTGATTGACAGATAGGTGTGGGTCAGACATACCCTGCAGGTGGTTTAGGGATACAGATGGTGACTGCTGGAAAGGTGAGGTCATCATGGGTGGCGAGGCCACATCAGAGACATAGCCGTGTGGAGACTCCAACGAGTCAACTGGTGACAACACAGCTGAGCTGTCCAGGAGGTTCCCAGACTTCCCATCCTGTGAATTCTTCTTCTTCACCTTCATATCTTTGCCCTCCTTGCAGCCGATGCCCTTGGCGCTGGGCTTGCGTGCCTTCTTGCCCTGGCCTTGACCTTGGGGCTGAGGCTGCTTCATGCCGCCCAAGTAGCCGTTGGGCGAGCAGAGAGGGGGAGACAAAGTGGTGCTGAGTGACCCTCCATGCATGTGAGGACTCCGTACCAGGTTGTAATCATCCATCAGCCGCACAATATCGTGATGCATCCTCTCCTGTGCAATGTCTCTGGGTAGCCGGTCCATATGGTCGGTTATTTCTCTGTTGGCAAAGTGGTCCAGTAAGACCTTGGCAGTCTCGTAGCTTCCTTCCCTGGCAGCCAAGAATAGAGGGGTTTCCTCCTGAGGCAGACAGAAAGGAG